GTTTTATTATGGAAAATTTTAAAACTACTCTTACTGTAAAAAAATATTCATTTACTTAATTAAGATTTAACGCTATTAAGTTTAGGTTAGACGTTTATACTTAACGTTTAAAGGAAGAATAGAAATTATTAAAATTTTAATTCAAAGTTTGTATTATAGTCAAACTTTTTCAAACATTTTTCGAGTTTATACTGTAAACGGAAAGTAAAAAATACAATAAATTGCAAAATCGAATCTTAATAAAAAAGATTATTTTGTTGAATTATACTTAATAGAAGCTAGTTATTTCAGTATGCTTGCGAGACGCCTTATTATTCTTGCTTTCTTAATATTGGCCATACATTATACTGTGGAAGATAACTTTGAATATGATGACACTTGGCATCCTTTCATTGACCTCGATGGTTTGTGACCCTTTTTGAAATTTAATCTGTCGCTGATAGGTTTATGAAATAAAATCTACAGTGCTAGTTCTGTACTACCATTTACTAAATTTTTGTACTTTTATTTTTAGCAAAAAATGGTTTCCAATGAATTATAATTTAATTTTGTCATAACCATAAACAATTGTATGAATACTTTTGCAGAATTTATACGCAAATATGTTTTTTATGCAATAAAATGTTTTCAATTTTTTTCAAATATTGAGAGGTAAGCAAAAACAAATTACAATACAATATAACTAGAATATTATGGCGACAAAATCGAATTTTGCTGTCAGAGTTATGAAAAATGTACCAATTTTGTATTATTACTGTACAACTTATGGTATTTTAATCAGTGTGAAGAATTTTTTTTCATTATGTTTAATTTTAGATCTGAAAACGCAACATCGTTTCATTGAACGTGCAGGACGTACACCACGGAGGGAAAAACCTAGCTATATACGATTCGGCAAGAGAGAATATTTTGATCAAAAATAGCATTTGTATTTTTTGCATGAATATTAGTTATGTTCTATATTCACAAAATCAGACGTTATATTTAAATTAATTCATTGAATACATCATTGAGTAGTTCATTACTATCAAGAAATGTGATCTCTTCCTAACTTATTAGCAATTTGTTTATTCGTATTGTTAATTTAAAATGTTATATTGGGACTTGTTTTTCTATTGAGGTAATTATGTGGTTAATTATCTAGTAGTACTGAACAATCAGAATGAAATAATTTGATTTCAGTGTTTAAATATTGTTTTTAACATTTCGAACTACATTAATTCACACGTAAATCACACGTCCTTGAACCGAAAGTAATACTTAATTTAGATTTTGTCGAGAATTTCTTTTTGCTTTTTAATACGATATGAAGGAGTCATTGTCGTAATGTTATTCACTACAAAACTGAAATAAAAGTGCTGATGTATATTTTAGCGGATTAATAATGACTTTAAATTAATGAACTCAATAAGACTTTTGAAAAAATCTTTTTGTTTGAAAATTAAGTGCTAACTTTTACTTTCAAATCAAAAGTCAGTCTTACTCACATTGTCATTTTAAAATTTCACTAACAAAATATATATTGACAAGTTATGATTTGATATAATACGATAAAACTTTTTGATAAGATTAATTATTCAAAGTGATCACTAGCAGTCATTTGCCAGCAGATAATAATTGATAGTACAAATCTTTAATTAAACTAAAAGCAGTATTTAGAATATTCGCAGCTAACAATAAAGTTTAAATTCCTAAAAAATTTTAGCAATTTTAAATTTTAAATTTGATTTCATTGTGAAAAAAGCGAGTGCAGGCGGTAAGAGAGTTTTAACAAAATAAGGAGGGAAAAACTTAAGAC